CATTAATTGGAGCGTGCAATTGGACCGCGTTACGCAACACGGTAATGACGAGTGTACGACACTCTGTGTGCAAATCGACGAAACTTGTCTGCACTGAGAAAATTCGTTTGATTGTTATCAACAAGATATGTGTATGATTGAAGGCATTTTGGTTAAATCAAGTAAGAATTTCTAGTTATCATGATAAGACTCGATTTTTTATAACTAGAACGTTTAAGATTTTTGTATAAGGATTTTTGTTCAGTAAAGCGATAATAAAAATTCTAGGGCCAATACGAGCTAATTAAACTAAGGTCTAAATAAAATAAAAATAAATATTAATAAGTTCGTTTAATGATTGTTTAATTAAACGAATTTAATAATATTTATTTTATTATACGAATTTAATAATACGAGTTTGCGTCGCTCTCTGAGACTATGCACAATCACTGAAGAAGGCTCGAACTGAGTCCGAAACGTTTGATGTCAATAAAGAAGAAAGATCGTTTTCATGGATAATTTTTTTTAAAACACGTCTTACAATTGCGTTGGCCTCTTACTATATTTTATTTTAATAATATTTGTTTTTATTTTATTTAGACCTTAGTAATTAGCTCGTATTATTCGCCCTAGAATTTTTATTATTGCTTTGCAACACACGAGCAGTATTATTATTGTTTGATTTGGTTAGTATTTTCTGGTTGAATCTATAAAATTTCTTGTTGCATTAACTTCTTTACTTAACTCGTATTCAATATTTGCTATGAAATGTATATAAAGAACTAGTATTAACATTAAATCCAAAGTATATTTTTTTTCTCTTACGAGCAGTAGTGCCAGAAAGAGGAGGACGCTAGCTCTCTGCTTGTGTGTGTTTGAGCTGCATCCTCTTCTTGCATCACTGTTTATCAGTTTGATTTCTAACAAACTGAACTTAAAATAATTTATTCAATAATATGAATTGAATTTATCCAATAATATAATCTTGTTGCAATTCAAAATATTAAATAGACTTTTGAGATTAGATGGAAAAAATTTTAGACGACTTGGTGCTGCATAGAAAAAAAACAAGTGTCAAATCAAAACTTATATACTTAAACTAACACGTTCATTGTTTCGTATATACGCAACAATTTATAATCTTCTTTGAAGAATTTAATAATTTTAAATTTCCACAATATTATAGTCTTATTTTAATATTGTAATTGTCACCTCAAGAATATATAATTATTTAATTCTACTTTAAGAAAATTATAATCTTTGATTTAAAAATGTTATTTTCTATTTAACATTGTTTCTTTTCCTAATTCAAGAAAATTAAATCTTAAATCAGAAGAATATATTTTTCTCGATTGAACTATATAAAATGGCTTCATTCGAGTAAGCAATTATTCGAGCAATTATAGTTTTCTTTAATTAACGCGATATAATCTCATTTCAAGATTTCCATGTTAAAACTAAATATATTTCCAAAAGAAGAACGTCCTTTTTTTCTGTGTGGGAAGTTTAGTATTATTAACCAGAAAATTTGGTAAATTTAACAGGAAGAGATTAATCAGATTCATCTGGTAATTCCTACAAGAATTCTGGTTCGTCCATTTTCCAACAGACATACTGCTCGAATCTACCAGAATTCTAATTAATGCAGTCAGATTTTTTTCTCAGTGTGGATAACGCTCGTGTTCCTTTTTTTCCCTCTCCCTCTCTCGTATTTTATCAACTCGAAATTACACCCGATGCCGTAAAACGGATGCAGGCGTTGCGTCACTCGGTGCAATCGTGCGGCGAAAACGCGACACTCGAAAGTGAAACGATTCCCGGCGCGATTCGTGTCGCAATTAAAATTCTCGCGCGAAAGAGCGATGAGGGAAATAACGATGGGGATGATGATGCGGCGTCCGAGATTTTAATAGAGGTGCAAGGGGTGCCGAATGTGCGGAGCCGCCTGTACTCATGTTCGATTTTACAGACTCTGAAAGTTTCTGGGTCGCGGTGAAGCTTTCACTTTCTTTCGTCGCTTCCGTTCTTTCGTGCCGCCGCCGGCCCTTTTCGCTTTCGTTTGACCCTTTTCCACCGCGTTTCTCCGGCAACGCGACAATTCTTATTCCACCTGCGTCGCACACACGCAGGTAATATACGCGCTGACGGGGTCTCTCTTTCCGTAGAACACGCTATCCGGTAGAAAATAATGCGTACGTGCGTGCATTCCGCGTGTATTGGTTCGGATGCGACGCAGGCAGGTACTCACTTCCGATCCGCACCGGTCCGGACAAAGGACCGGGCTGGCTGTTTAGAAGCGCGCCGCACAATGAGAAGCGGAAGTTGGATCGATCGTGTGTATTTTTTCCAGCGGGATTCGAGTCACGGCCCCGCTTCATTCAAATCGCGCAGTTTTTACGGATTTTACGCAGCCTTTCGAGCGTCCTTACATCATGAATGATATCACGAATCGATTGATTCATGATAATTGTGTCACAAGAAAATTCATAGTCGCGTCGACGTAAAATTCAAAGACTCTGGAGCGTTTGATTGTACAATTGGCATCGCCATTAACGTCACTTCGAAGTGAAAAAATTGCCACAACTCGCGATGAGACACGGTATATACGGTGTCCCTTAATAAGTTAATAAAACTAAATTTTTATTTTTTTCTCAAATTTGGAACAAATTAAGGAAATGGAATTAGGTGGATATTTTCTATTAGCAAAAAGGTTATTTATTAATATTTTTTCAGCCTTCCATATTGTTATAGGGGAGTGAAACTAGCAACCCCTATTCAATTTTTTATTAGAACTTTTTAATGGGCCGGAGTATGATCATCTAAAAATATGCTTTAAAAAGTTTGATTTATTCAGAAATTTTTGTATTTCTTTCATTTTTTCATAAAATCAGTAGTTTTCGAGAAAAAAAATAAAATACGTTATCATGCACGATGCTAAATAGCGTAGGTTTCGAATAACGAAAAGTGAAATTTTGAAATAAAATTAAAATAAAATTAAATTAAAATAAATTTTGAAATTTTGAAATAAAATAAAAATAAAATTAAAATTAAAATAAAATTAAAATTAGAGTAAATGTTGGGAAAATTGGAACAAAATTATATATATATAAAATCTAAAATCCTACAAAATAAAAATCTAATTTTTACTCCCATTTTTGGAGGAGTGTAACTCCTGTTTACATGAAAACCCCCCTTAATTTTCGACAAAGAATGACCTAAACTTCGCACTTACTAAGAAACACTCTGTACATTTCGAAACTTGCTATCGACGAATCCGTATCACGCTCGTCGTTTTCTTCGTATTATTGTGCATCCCGACGAGCGCGTAAGTAACAGAAGGGAGAGAGGAGCGGATGCGATGCATTTCGCAAGAACGCGCGAGCCCGCGTTTCTGGAATTAACCATTACGTTTCAACCGCACACGTTGTGTTTCATCCTCCATCCCATATCCCCGCTTTTTAATTTTCCCGAAGCCGCTATGCAAATCTTTATCAAGCTTACGCTACAACACGCTTTCGCGTTGCATTGGTGTCCCGCTTGGAATTATCAACAAAGGCCCGATTCTCTCCGTGTTTATTTTAAGCGCCCATAATTATCACGATAAAGATCACTCTCTATCATCGAGATCGACGTCGAGACAAGGACGTCGATTTTCCCGACTATAATTATTCAAATGTACATAATATTCCTACGCGCTTCCTCGGATGCGCCGGAAAAACGCGTTTTCGTAATTTTTTTTTTTTTTCTAATTTTTTTCGAGACAGACGAAATCCCTCGGGCCGAATTTATTATCGTTGAACGCGCTTGCGACGCGCGTTTCTCAATCTCGAAGCCCTCGGTGCACCCGACGCGATGACAACGTCGATGACAACACGCCTGCGATACTCGACGCGGCGTGCGTCCGTCCGTGTGTGCGTGCGCGAGTGTGCACGTGTGTATGTATGCATGTATCTACGCTCGCCGTTGTACGTTGTACGGCAGGAACGTTCGCTCTCGGTCACTCGTACGAGAAAGAGCGCGCGAGTCGGCGAGTGAATAAATGAGTCGAACAAGGAGGGCAAGGAGGGAAGCGGGGGAGAAGGCGAAAAAGCGTGCGAGAAAGAGAGAAAGTGAGAGTGAGAGAGGGGGGGGACGGCGAGAAAGAGAAAAAGAGGTATCGCGTCTTTTCACACGAGATAGAGTACGCGAGCGAGAAGGCTTAACCGGCGCAAAGAGGGAGGGGGGAGGCGCGAGAAGGACGGAACGTGCGTGGGGGAGGGTAAGGACAGGGTCTGCCTGCGCGAGATGGCGAGAGAGGAACGCGCGCGAGAGAGAGAGAGAGAGGGAGAGGGGGACGCGGAGGGAGGGGGGCGCGTGTGACGAGAGGGAGCGAGAGTCGCGCGGCTGCGTCATGTTCTCAACGAACTGGGTCAGTAGGTCTCCCCACCGCGCGCTTACCGCGTCGCACATCCACCGCCGCGCGTACACGATACACACAGGCGCGGACGCCGCTTGCGCTGCGCTCGCCGGGGAGTGCCAACGGCGTTGCTGTTGACCCAGCCAGCCGCGCGCGCGCGCGCGCGTCTCCCGGTGCCGCGACACTTGCCATTAGCCGCGTCGCGGCTTCTTCTACCTGTGACGCTATCCGCATCGGCTGGTACGTCGTCTGGCGTCGCTATTTTGTTCTCTCTCTCTCTTTCTCTCTTTCTCGCTCGCTCGCTCGCTCTCGTCGGGACCGGGGACTCTGGTCCGCGTCAAGTGCCGAGAGGAAAAAAGGCCTCGGTCCTGCTCGACACATTCGCGGAATGCGTCTTACGTCATTCGCAGGACCGGTCGCTTTCTCGGTTGCCGACTGCGAGAACGCCTCTCCCTCGCCCCCGCCCCCCTCCTCCTCCTGTTTGTTGTACTACTCGTTTTCAAAAGTCGCCTCGTTGCGCGGTATCGTCCGTCGAAGGTTCGACTTCGCGAGCCTAGAGAGAAGCCTCGACGACGACGACGACGACGACGACGCGGTCTCGCATGCTCGCGGACAATACTTCCCCGGCCGACATAGACCTGGTTCGTAAGTAGGTCATCCCCCCCGCCATCGGTCGCGCAACCTCCTTCTCCCCCTCCCTTCCTCCCGCCCTCCTCCCTCTCCACCGGTATCTTCGACCGCGGCAATATACCAGCGGCAATCCCGTCCGCCTCGCTCTCCGCCGCGACCGCGTGCTACTCGACTCTCCCCCCTCCCCCTCCCGCGTCCGCGCGGACCTCTCAGGCGGCACCTCCACTCCGCGTCGGGTACCTGGCCGCGCGCGGTGGCATGCGCTGCTGAATCACTTTCACTTATGCCGTGCGCTGTGTTGGTTATACTCTGTGCGCGCGATCTCTCTCTCTCTCTCTCCCTCCCTCTGTCTCTCTCTTTCTCTTTCTTGCTCGCTCGCTCTCTTTCCCCTCGGTCCCCCGTCCATCTTTCTCTCTCTCTCTCTCTCTCGCGCCTCTCGATGCCCGTCGGTAAAGGGACACGCGCGCCTTCTCTCTATACCCACCGAAACGCCGAAGGAGCCTGACAGTAGTGCGCGCCTCGGCACCGTTCTCTTCGTGCACGGTTTCGCCCAATTTCCCAGTCGTCGGCGTCGTCGTGGCACCGTCGCGAAACGTCGCTCGCTCGTCCGTCCGTCTCTTTTTCTCGGGGAGACGCAGCAACGCGCGCGACCGCGTCGGGCCTCGAGACGGGAGTGCGAAGGAAGGAGCATCGCCAGCATCGTCGAGACACCCTGGGACGCGAGCGTGGATCGTCATCGTCGTCGGTGCTCGCCGTGATACGTCACGTATACCGTGTCCCGTAAAGGCGGCCTCCCCGGCGGTCTCTACCTACCTACCTATCTACCTACCTACCTACCTACCTACCTACCTACCTACCTACCTACCTACCTACCTATCTACCTATCTACCTACCTACCTACCTACCTACCTACCTACCTACCTACCTACCTACTCCATGTACCGACGATAGGGTGACGGAGGAGGGGAGAGCGGGCCCTTCGGGAAGGCAACGAGCCGAGAAGACGACTAGTCGTCCGCAGACACGCCAACTGTCAAGTCGTGCGGTCTCGGGCTCCGATTTGTTGTCGTCATCGTCGTGTGCGCGCATCCGTCTCGCTCGTTTACTATTCGTCGCCTCGCTCGTTTGTGTTGTGCCGGTACAATAGTTGCTCCAAGTGTACCCTCGGGGCACTTGTGGCGCGCCTTTGTACGCGATCGCGTCGAAACGTCACATTGTTGACACCCGTCGATGTGTGTAGATTGTCGCCTTGTCGCGTGTGTCCGTCTGTCAGTTTCGCGGTATTACTGTCAAACGCGAGCTCATCTGCAATAAGGTCTTGGATTACAGTGTGAACGGGAGGAGACGGTACCTTTTGGTGCTTCGGTTGCGAAAGTGTCCGAATGTTTTTCGCGCGCGATCATCGACACTCGTATCGCTATCATGTTTCGGACGTAGCCCCAAGTCTCGACGAGATTCGTATACGTTTGGTGGTGTACGATGATTTTTCTCGATAAATTTGTGTGAGCGAGAGAGAGAGAGAGAGAGAGAGAGAGAGAGAGAGAGAGAGAGAGAGAGAGAGAGAGAAAAAGAGGGTGACTCTAGTGAATCGAGTATTTTTCGTGCCGCGAGAACCTCGAGTGCGTGTCCTTCCTCCTCGTCTCGATTGTGCCCATTTGTTGTCATCGACGTCGTCCTCGTCGTCGTCATCAGCGTCATTGATGGCGACGTTAACGGGTGCGCCAGGTCGCGTCTCGAGAACGTTAATCGACTGACGCTGTCATCCCCATCCCTCTCGCCAGAAATCACCTTGTTGGCGAAACCAAGGGGAACAAAGATACCCCGATGTAATTCGTGACTCGCGCGCGATCCACAGCTCGGTCGAGTGAAAAACCCAAATCCGATAGATCGAAGGGACTCGCATCCGGGTGACGAGGGGAAGCCTCGATTCATATATGCGCCGATCGTACACGTGCACGTCCGTCCGACGTGCTCCTCTCGCGCAAGGGTGATATGTTATTGGAGATGGAGCACTCGAGCCTGATATCCCTGAACATGTCGCCGTTCCACCTGAGCCCGCAGGGCAGTCCTCAGGCTGGCGGGCAGCAGCAGCCCCCGCAGCAACAGCCCCAGCCGCATTACGGCTCGTCGCCCTACGGCAATTGCGCGCAGAGCTCGCCGTCGCCCATGTGCCACCAGCAGCAGCAGCCGCAGACCCAGGCGCAGCAGCAACAAATGTCGGCACATGGCCAGGCCGCGGCGCAATCGCAGGGCGGCGGCATGTCCGGCTTCGAGTCGAGTTTCTACGAGATCCCCGAGGACAATCGGTGCCCCATGTGCGGCCACAAGAACGTGTCCACCTATCAGTTCGGCCTGTATACGTGCGATAACTGTAAGGGTTACTTCAAGCGCAACAGCTCGCCGTGCAACAACAAAAAGATGTACACGTGTCACTTCTCTCCCACGGGGGGCGGCGGCGGCGGGGGCGGGGGCGGGGGTGGAAACGGTAGCGGGAACGGGGCGTCCTCGTCGTTCGAGATTTGCGCCAACAAGAAGGTGTACACATGTCTGTTCCCGCCAACAGGAGCCGGAAGCGGCAACGGCGGCGCATCCTCCGGTCTCGAGGGCAACGGCGGAGGTGGAGGTTACACCGGTAACAGCGGCAACGGCAGCGGGGCGGCCACTGCCGCCGGCGACGCTGGTCCAGGCGCGGCGAACGTCGCGATCGGCGGAGGAGGCGGCGGCGGGGGAGGCGGAGGCGGCGGCGGGCCTGGCGTCGCCGCCGCGGGAAGCGGCAACGTCGCTGCCGGCGCGATTCCTACCGGCGGTACCCTCTGCCATCCCGGACTGGGCCAGGTCGGCGTCGTGACGGGCTCGATACCCTGCCCGTCCGACTTCCCCGACACCAAGGACATCATCATCGAGGAGCTCTGCCCGGTCTGCGGGGACAAGGTGTCCGGCTATCACTACGGTTTACTCACGTGCGAGTCCTGCAAGGGCTTCTTCAAGCGCACCGTCCAGAACAAGAAGGTGTACACCTGCGTCGCCGAGAGGTCCTGCCACATCGACAAGACGCAGCGGAAACGATGTCCCTTCTGCCGTTTCCAGAAGTGCCTCGAGGTTGGCATGAAGCTCGAGGGTGAGTTGCTTTTACAGTAAGATACTAGTAGAGTAGATGTACGGGGAACGAACGAGCAGCGAAAAAATGGGAGAGGCGAGTTTATTTGAAAGTTTCCGAAGAGCGAATGCGAATCGTTGACTTGAACGTGAATCGAATGTTGATGGACGCTTTGTTTGCATTCGCGGTGTCGTAAGCGTCCTCTGATTTAACGAAGCGAAAATTTGCATTCGTTGATCGTTCGTTCGTTCAATAGCTAGTATTCATTTTTCAAGCCTACGTCGGAAATGTAAAGTGATAAAAAAGCGACGATAAATGCTAATAAATAGCTTCGAGTAAATTGGAGAATATAATCTTTCGAGAGCGCGTTGTAAGATTCTGCTATAAAGATTAGAAAAAAGGGAATAAATAAAAAAGAAATAATGTATCTATAGCACTCGGTGTTTTGCATTTTCAATAGTGCCAGTGATAATCATCATTTGACATTATCACAACGTAATTTCCGAGATAATCTTCGAGAAATGTACGGTATAATCAGAATCGGAGAAGCACAATCGGATAAAAAAAATATTACGATTAACGTGTCAAAATTTGCTTGAGATAAAAAGATGTATAACTTTGTCAAAATATTAGAGTTAATTTGAGTAAATAAATAGCGATCGGTAATGATTAATATTAACGTTATAAAAACATTATATGTAGTATATTTTGCATAATATTGCTAGACATCTGGATACAAACAAGTTTGTTAAACTGAATTAATTCATTGAATCGGAGCGAGTACAGATTTAAAATTAATTATATAGCATGTTTCACAAGAAAATTTTTTTATCTGCAGTTAGTGTGATAAAAAAAGTAATGTTTTATCTATGTATATACACAATTTAAGAGTGTTAATAATAGCACAGTGAAATAACGTCACAAGAAAAACGTTTTATTTTTACAATTTTTATTTTTACATAACCTGTGACGTGAAATGATATATTTAGAACAAATGTGTAAATTTGTAATTAATTGTAAAAAATATCTGACGAGATTTTTTTTACGGATAATGTGATAAAAAAGTAATATTTTTTTATGTATGTATATAATCTAAGAATAGCATATGAAATGATTACAAGAATTATGGTTGCAAGAAAAATATTTCATTTCTATAATTTTCACTTTTTTACATAACCCATGATGTGAAATTATATATAATATCTCTCAGAATATAAATTTATAATTAATTACAAAGAACACTTTGAGAATTTTTATGTACGGATAACGCGATCAAAAAAGTAATGTTCCATATCCGTATACACGATTTAAGAATTCTAATCATAATGAAATAATTATGTCGCAGGAAAATACTTCATTTTTATAATTTTCACTTTTTCACATAACTCGTGATGTGAAATTATAATATAATATCTTTCAGAAAAAATATAAATCTATAATTAATTACAAAGAACACTTTGAGAATTCTTATGTACGGATAACGCGATCAAAAAAGTAATGTTTTATATCCGTATACACGATTTAAGAATCCTAATCATAATGAAATAATTACGTCGCAGGAAAATACTTCATTTTTATAATTTTCACTTATTCACATAACTTGTGATGTGAAATTATAATATAATATCTCTCAGAAAAAATATAAATCTATAATTAATTACAAAGAACACTTTGAGAATTTTTATGTACGGATAACGCGATCAAAAAAGTAATGTTTTATATCCGTATACACGATTTAAGAATCCTAATCATAATGAAATAATTACATCGCAGGAAAATACTTCATTTTTATAATTTTCACTTTTTCACATAACTCGTGATGTGAAATTATAATATAATATCTCTCAGAAAAAATATAAATTTATAATTAATTACAAAGAACACTTTGAGAATTTTTATGTACGGATAACGCGATCAAAAAAGTAATGTTTTATATCCGTATACACGATTTAAGAATCCTAATCATAATGAAATAATTACGTCGCAAGGAAAATATTTCATTTCCATAATCATTCATTTTTCACAACCCGTGTGAAAAACCGTATATATTATACATAATATTTTAGAACAGTGTGACATTCCAATAAATAAGTTACGATTATCGTCCGGGTCGCTGTGATAACGTAATACTTAATGTGTATTTTACATATAATTGATAATAAGCTCACATAATAATGCATGCTGATGTTTGGAAAATTTCACTTTAGCGGACGTCATCTCAAAATTCATCCGCGTATTAAATCCGCGTATCAAGCATACCAGACGGTAGATTGAAAGACGCGCAGGTCCTTTTCGACGCGAATAAAAAGCCGCGCTCCATGAATATCCAATTCCGCGTCGCGCGTAATTTATCGACCGCGTCGCGTCATTTTAATAATTTCGCCTTTTACTTTCACCGCGCGAGTCGCGTTTTCCCACCATCACCCGGCGATCCGGTGTGTCATCGGGCGGTTACATCGTGTGTATCAAGAGTCTTACATTATCTCTCGTATATACATCAAGAGAGAGCATCTTCGCACGTGCTGAGCGTACGTCAAAAGTCGTTTACGCAGACGCGTCGACGTCTTTGTCATCGTCATCCTCGTCGACGAATTTAACCCTATTATATACATGTACACGCTCTTACACACATGCGCGATTAACCGAGTCTCACCGATGACGAACGATGGCACGTATCTCTTATAGTCGCGAATCGATCGAGCGCGCCCTCCTCCTCGCGATATTCGAGCCGACGAAGAAGCGGTCGTTACTTCAGACGCTGGACAAACGAAATTACGTCACGGCTCTGGCACTAGTAACACGATTACGTGTCATTATCCACGTGCTTATGCCCGACCTCGTTTAATGACCACGTTAACAATATTTTTTTTTAATTAGTAAGCAGTTGTGTACGCGATACTTGTTACACATGCGAGGAAGCATTCTGCAAAATCTTGCGTCTCGTAATTAAATTAATCAAGTCAGCCAAGCCGCTTGCTGCATAATAATTCGCTCAATCCCAATTATTTTCATTCCAGAAGCGTTGATAGGGAATCGGTCATATCGATAGACAGAAAAAAAGGATATTCTTGTTTCGAAAATATATATTTAGTTTTAACATGGAAATCTTGAAATGAGATTATATCGCGTTAATTAAAGAAAAACATAAGTGCTCGAATAATTGCTTACTTGAATGAGGCCATTTTATATAGTTTAATCAAGAAAAATATATTCTTCTGTTTTAAGATTTAATTTTCTTGAATGGAAAAGAAACAATGTTAGATAGAAAATAACATTTTTCAAATCAAAGATTATAATTTTCTTAAAACCGAATTAAATAATTATATATTCTTGGGGTGACAATTACAATATTAAAATAAGACAATAATATTATTGAAATTTAAAATTATTAAATTCTTCTAAGAAGATTATGAATTGTTGCGTATATACGAAACAATGAACGCGTTAATTTAAGTATATAAGTTTTGATTTGACATTTGTTTTTTTTCTGTGCACCACCAAGTCGTCTACAATTTTTTCCATCTAATCTCAAAAGTCTGTTTAATATTTTGAATTGCAACAAGATTTTATTAGATAAATTCAATTCATGTTATTGAATAAATTATTTTAAATTTAGTTTGTTAGAAATCAAACTGATGCAAACAGTGATGCAAGAAGAGGATGCAGCTCAAACACACACAATCAGAGAGCTAGCGTCCTCTTATTCATTTTCCCTTCAAATGAATATCTTTGAATTGGGAGAATATCATTCTTTAATTCTTTATCTATTCTCTATGTGTATGCACAGAAAAAAGAACATTTTTGTTTTGAAAATATATTTAGTTTTAACATGGAAATCTTGAAATTAGATTATGTCACGTTAATTAAAGTAAAACATAATTGCTTGAATAATTGCTTACTTGAATGAGGCCATTTTACATAGTTCAATCAAGAAAAATATATTCTTCTGTTTTAAAATTTAATTTTCTTGAATGGAAAAGAAACAATGTTAGATAGAAAATAACATTTTTAAATCAAAGATAATTTTCTTCAAGCAGAATTAAATAATTATATATTCTTGGGGTGACAATTACAATATTAAAATAAGACTTTAATATTGTTGATATTTAAAATTATTAAATTCTTCTAAGAAGATTATAAGTTGTTGCGTATATACGAAACAATGAACGCGTTAGTTTAAGTATATAAGTTTTGATTTGACACTTATTTTTTTTTTCTGTGTATAATAAGGTTGAATTAGATATATATACGTTGGATCGATGCTCCAATTTCGATGTCGCTTACGATAAGCCATTCTTGAAAACATCAAGTTTAGGCTCGCACGACATGAGCGAAACGGCGTCGTTTAGTCGTAGCATCTAATGCAATTCAAGTAAGTGGGTCTAGGCCCTCAAGGCCCAACGATTAAGCGAATCTCGAAACAGTCTCTGTCGCAATTGCCGCTTTTGCACACCGTTTTCCACGACGTTCCTATGGCGGCAAACGCCATGGGAGGAGGAGGAGGGAGGAGATTGCTTAACGCGGAAAGTTTCCAGAGTACTTGCGAGTGTTTACGAAAGGAAAGGGTTTCCTTACACGCGCTAACCGTCTGCAAACGTGATAGAAAAATTCGCGCCGGCGAAAATTGCTCGTAGAATTTTTCTGCGTCTGTCAACAATGACCACGTGTCGACCTGCGAAAGATGATTAAATCGAGGTACGAACGGTTCTGTCGAAAAAGAGGGATCGATAAGAGGAATTATAATTATTATTTGATAATCGACTCGTAATTAATATCATTAAATAATAATGTTCGTCGTAATCGGTTTGACAGCTGGCGACATACAATGCAAATAAAATCGTCGTCTGACTTTCTCTCTTTATTATTTGCGGTCATCGTTACTGCATTCAATGTTTGGAGCCTCCTTCCCTCCTCGTCGTTAAATATTCCTACGCACTTTCGTCGAAAGTGTGAAACGTCACTCGTAATATTACTCCGAAATCGATTGTTGTTTGACGTTTGATTAATCATCGCGATTTTTA